TGGTCTATAGAGTAACAGGCTGTACTCCATCATTAGCCTCTCTTTCAAATCACTGTGGCTTATAGAGTAACAGGCTGTACTCGATCATCATTAGCCTCTCTTCCAGATCCCTGTGGTCTATAGAGTAACAGGCTGTACTCCATCATTAGCCTCTCTTTCAGATCACTGTGGTTTATAGAGTACCAGTCTGTACTCGGCCACTATTAGCCTCTTCTTGTTCACACACTGCTACCCTACCCACATACCCCAAAAATGAATGCAAAGATCACAGACTATGCTGCTCAATTAGCCAGTATATTTTGTGTGCCTCAGTTTTAGGTGTAGTCTCATGACATCAGGACCATATAACTAAACACTTTGACTACTTATTGAAATTAAAAAGCGATCTCCCCTTTCTGGAATTCTATGCTTTCTTCTTGGCACAAGAACAGAATGAGGCCATGTTGTTTCATAGCAGAGCACAATGAAATAAAAAGCACGCAAAGAATGCAGGAAGTGAAACTGACAAATGCATGACAGATGCAGAGAGCGAGAAAGAGAGAGAGAGAGATTGAGGGAAAGATGGAGGGAGAGATGGAGAGAGATGACAGAGATGGAAAACCAGGCTCCATCTGCCTGACACCAAAGGGTATGAGCAGTTCATTCATTGCTCAAACTGGAAGGTTTCAATACTAAAATACTCTCCACTCTGCTGTCAAATTCAGGAAAAGTGAAATTTACCACATTTAATAACACAGGCTATATTATTTCCATTTTAATTAATTTCATTATGCAATAAAGAGAAATAGGAAAGGGTACCAGCCATAATAAAACTGGAAATAAGGTTTAATTTGGACAGAATAAAGTAATGGGTCATAAAAGAATAAAGCAACCAATAAAATCTCTAAAGGACTTGTATAGAGTCCGTTTAATTAAATTAGGAGGCACAGCTGGTCTCACAGTGAATGTTTCAGTGGTCAGTAAGTGGGCTGTATCTTACATACGCAGAATGTTTCTAAAGGCAGGCAAAAGCAGCACATCACAGAGGCAAATGAGAAGCAAACACATCAATTAACTGCATCAAACAGATCCAGTGATGTGTTGAGCATTAAAACAAGTCTGCCGTGCAGACACTCACTGAAGCCATCCTTGCAGGTGGAGTCAATAGGCCTATTTGTTTAAGATGTTAATGTTTTTTCATATGCTGACATGTAACTGGCAGATAAAGAGACTCAGGTAGCAGTTACAGGAAGCAGATTTAAATAAAGCACGTGTTTCCATGCAAATTACGGTCACCCTTTTTCACTGCAAGTCCCCTATCAGTCATGCCTGCTGTTTTCTCCAACAGAAGAGGCAATCAGGAAAGTTTGAAAAACAACTATTTCAGCAAAAACTGAGTCACAGTCCTCATTTTCATCGTTTCGCCAACGGCAGAAACTAGTTTGTATAGTGCATGTTAGTGTATAGTGTACGTTATCTCAATAAGGGCAGAACTCTCTGCTGACAGACAGTAGCTTCTGTCTGAAGGTGGCTGGTTTCTGCAGAGAGATCTTCGGTGATACATGGTATCTGTCTGTCAGATGTACCTTTCATGCTGCGTGTGGCTTGATCTCATTGACATCGGATGCTCAGCGATGCCATTCGACTAAAGTGAAGTTATGTAAACTGTGTAGTTGGAGGGCATCCAGAATACAATGAGGCTAACTGTTCATGATCTAGATCGGCAAGTATGTCCTAAGTCACTTCCCCCCCCAACTTCTGAACAAGAGACTAAAAACATTCAGTACGACGAAGTCAGCAGGTCCAGAAGTGCTAGAGCACTGGTCTTGAACTGTCCCCACCCCCCCCCATCAGCAAATAGTTGGGGACCCCTGCGTCTTACCAACTCTGAGGCCAGCCCGCTGGGCAGGACTGTCTTCATGCACCTTGCAGATGAACGTGCACATCTCCACAGAGTTCTCATCCTGATGATGCAGGCCGTAGGTCTGAAAGTGGAAAACGTAGGAATCAGCTCCTCCAACCTCCACCACCAGACACCAAAACACAAACCTGAAGGGCTCGTGTTTGCACAGCCTTATCTGTTTAGCAGCACAAGAAAGAGGATGTTACACCCAAGATCAACACATCTGAGCTCTTGGTTAGGATCAAACTACATATTTGACACAAGACTTGCTGGATGGGGGCTGAAAAACATGAAAAACAGGACCTGCCTGAGCCCCACCCTCTCTCAGAGGAGGTCACTCAGGGGCATTTGGAAACAGGATCATATGATGGTCTATAGAAAGAATGTCGCAGCAGACGTGTGCGATTTGGCGAAAGGAAATATAATCTTGGGTGTTCCTAAATCCTTCTAACTGGAAGCAGGCCGGAAGTGAGGTTTTGTCAGCTTAGAAAACATGACAAAAATATAGCGAATGCAAGGAATGTGGTCACGCAAACAACGTCAGTGAAACTTTTCATTATTAAGGCCTAAGACTCCTCGCAAACACACTGATATGGTTTACTGCTCTCTTCAGTTTTGTCATTCACACATTTTCAAACACTAGGTTATATATTTTTAATGGGGGGGGGCAGCTTTGACGCAAGAATGAACAAGAATTAAAATCTAAAATTACCTGCAATTGTCAGAGAAATTATCAGTACAATGTAACTTTGGCTTGGCCTTATCGATTTGTACATCTATGCTTTAGTGTGGAAATGAGCAAAAATTCCTGATACATTTCCTCAAAACAGCATAAAGAATTACACATGTTCTGAATTAGCTTATGGAGTCTTTTAAAAAGCCAGGTGAAAGAGGTGAATCCTCCCATTAACTGCTAGAGGACTTCCTGTTTGCGAGCTACATTTATCATTGCCATGGTCAGTGTTTCCTTCCATGTGAAGGTTGACAAACAAGAGCTGAGAGAACTCCGTGGGTCTGGGAAGACTTAGAAAAGATACCTTGCAAATCCAGGTGGGTGTGTCAGCTATATACAGGACAATGACACAATGGAACACAACCACGTCTGACAGGAGGACATTCTGACAGCAGGGGTATGAGTGTGTGTGTGTGTGTGGGGGGGGGGTTACAGTTCCCTGTCTAGCACTTGCTCATTTCTGCAGCCCATGTCTTTAAAATGTTAAAGTGTTTACAAACATGCCCCCTGCCCATAGAATATGGGCTATATGGTGTTCCAGGGTTGTTCTCTACTGAGATTCTCTGCCGAGTTTCCACAGCCGTTTCATTTATTCTCTCTTTGCGGACCACAAACACCAGTCACTGCAGGTGTGTATAATAAGCAATGTCATCGAGGACACTGGCGTTTTAATGAAAGCTCAGCATGACAATGAACATTTCATGAGCTCACCCTCTAGAATGATACTGACATAAAGGGAAAGTCCACAACACGGCAAAACAAAAACGGCCGCAAACGAAGCTTGGCAAACCACTGGCGAAAATTGCCAAGACCACATCAAGGGGAGAGACAGGGAGGAGAGCAGGATTCCGAAAGTCATACATTTTCCAGAACATGCAGCGGATCTCACGTCCTGTAGCCCAGACAGGGCAGGAAAGGAAGGGTCCCCTTCAAACACTACTTAGAGACACTTTGTTCCTAAAAATAAGCAGCTATCTGGCCAGTACAGCAGCACTGCTTTGCGATCCCACGACACAATAATGCTGACAGTTATTGCTGCCATCATATGTGCTTTTTCAATAAATGGAGAGAAATAAGTCGCTTGTTGCAGAAAGAGAGGTTGTGGGTCCAGCCCAACTCAAACTAAGGTGCCTTAACCCCTACCCAGCCCTAAACTTAACCGACATGTGGTCCCCACGATGTAATATATACATCATATACATCCCCCCCACACACACACATACACACTTGCCTACCATTGCGAGTCAGGATTTCACACCGACTCCCATAATAAACCAAAATATTTTTAAAAATCATGAAAATTGGTGAATATCCCCACAACATACACTTTGTCCTCACAGGATTATTTGTCCTTGAAGGATTTGTCTGCAAACACCCCCGGCCATGCTTTAATGAAGCAACATTCTTACCTGAATCTCAAATCCAAAACTCTCCTCTTGTCCTTTCTCCAGGGTAATGACTTTCCTGCAATGAAAGTGACGTATTAGCTTCTAAATGTATTGAATTGACCTTATTATGACAAAGACCTGGTTCTGGTGAAGTATCTGATGACTGAGGGCAGGGTTAGGTCTTTGCAGGTGTGCTGTGAAGCCCCCTGGGCTCAGGTCAAGTATATTAGTGCCCAGTACGACTGATTCAAGAATGAGGATGTTATACTCAAAAGAACAATGATGTCTCAGAGGTGATAGCACTGAGCCTCCCTGTGCACAAAGTGAGATATAACTCATTACATCAAGCTGGAAAAAAGAAACAAATGAATCACTGTCATCACGCCATTTACTATTTATAGAAACCTGTCACCGATGAACCAGTCAACCCTAATACATCATTAGGAAATTGGTCAAGCTTTGAATAGAATGAAATTAGGAAACAAAAGGAGCATAAAGGGCAACTTTTCAATAAAGGAACTAAAACACATGCTGTCACATTCCAGAAGTTGTTCCAGTATTTCAGAAAAATAACCAGGTGAAAGTCGAAAGACACGCAGCCTGCCCGCACACCCTGCTGGGGGGGGGGGGGGGGATAATCCGCCACAAGCTTCAACACAACATCGCGTGGCACTTATTGTGCACCAACCCAAACACAGGAGTGTCCCTCAACATGTGTTGTTCTTGCACTATTGTTTCTTCATGACAAGGCAGCACCTAAGGCCCGTGGGGCACATGCACAGAGAAGCCTCTGACATCAATGATGTATCTGTGCAAATACCTCTCAGGGTAATTCCTTTGCCGCCACAATTCATGAATAGTTATGTCACCACAAACACAGCAGGAAAAGAAATCCCCTATCAAACAACAAAGAAACATACAAAACAGTAGCAGTGTCCAATTACTGTCAATCTCATTCTGATACTGCAAACATGTCAGGAGAAATGATCAAAGTCCTGTTACTGAAAACAGACACACAGGACTTCATAATGTGCTCTGGTTTATTATATTTAAAAGACCACATCACTTAAGCTTTTTGGTGAAGACTGTATTGTCTGGTTCGTTATAGGAATCTTTCCTTGGTGCCCTAAGCCAATGTTTCCCAGCCCGGTCTTCAGGAACCCCCAGATGGTCCACGTTTTGTTCCCTCCCAGCTCGACATTCTGGGGGTCTCCCAGTGCTGCGTTAGGAAACACTGCTCTGAGGGTCTCAGCAGAAAAGGCTGGTGCAACTGGAGTTCTTGCAGACCCGTTTTTAAAACCTAGGCATGACCTAGGTTAGGCCTGGTTATGGTGAGGAGCAGTGGGCTGGCTGGGTATAGGAAGGGGCCATGCAGAGACACGAGGAGGCTCACCTGCACTGCTCCGGTGACTGATTCTGAGGCTTCCACTTGTGCTGCGCCCCCTACAGGGGACAGGAGACACACATTAGTGCCATAGGCACACAAAAAATCTGCACAATGCACCTCTGTGCTACCTGGCTCACGCCCCTACGCCCAACACCTCCTACAACTAACAACTCTGAAGGTTGTTTACATAGTAGTGGTTAAATGGTTCAAGCCAAACACGAGCTGGGGCAGCAAAGCAGGGGGCTGTTAGCAGGGGTGGGTGCTGCCGGTACATCACACAAGTGCCCTGGATGTGAGTTTGAGGCACGTCAGGGACATCTCCTTCTGTCCCTGTTGCATGACACCTCACATGTGAAAACTAAGTTTTCCCTTTTACACTGTGACCCAGGAATCTCAATTTTAAGCACTGAATATTTCTTTCATCAATAGAAAACCCATCCATCCATCCATTTTCCAAATTGCTTATCCTTCTGGGTCGCTGGGGGGTCTGGAGCCTATCCCGGAAGCTACAGGCACGAGGTGGGGAACAACCCAGGATGGGGGGCCACTCCGTTGCAGGGCACACTGATACACCATTCACTCACACATGCACACCTATGGGCAGTTTTTGTAACTGCAATTAGTCTCAGCATGTCTATGGACTGTGGGGGGATACCGGAGTCTTCGGAGGAAACCCCACGATGACATGGGGAGAACATGCAAACTCCACACACATGTGGAGCCCAGGCGGACACTCAAACCCGGGTCCCAGAGGTGTGAAGCAACAGTGCTAACCACTGCACCACCGTGCCATCCCAATAGAAAACCCATGAGGAACATAACAGAAGAGCCCAGTGAAACACCACTGCCGATCAACATGGTTCAGATTATGACGTTTCTTTTTTTTCCCTTTTACAACCAGCCAATTCAATCCAATTCTACCTCAATGATTTCCAGTGTTGTTCTCTGAAAGTGAACTTTGTGTCATAGCCAGGCATAATAAAATGTTGCCTTTCTCTACTTACTTGCACATACAAAATTATCCACAAAGCACTTTGAATGACTGCATTTATTTCCCGAATACCTCTGGAGTCCCACGGGGGCGGGCAAATTGAGAGTGTGCCCCCCTCACAATGGTCTTTTGTGGCCGTATGGCTCAACTGGGGGAGCAAGTGTAGGACGTTGCATGGGACGGCTGCCCCTGTCCACTCTGTAGCAGGCAAAGGTGGAAATTTCAGGTTCAGAAAGCAAAAATCCAGATCAAGATGTTGTTTCCACAATCCAGATGAGTTCTCTGTGACTGTGGCTCTTTATACCTTGCTGGAAGGCTGAAACAAAATCATGGTCTGGATTTTTACTTTCTGGACCTGAAATTTCCACCTCTGGTAGCAGGGCTCCTGAGACAGCACTCTTCATAGACCACAGGACTCCAACAGGACCACAGGAGTCCAACAAGTGTCACCAAAACCTTTGTTCGTATTTTAAAGACACCTAAAAGGTCTCTGAATTTGCCCTGAGTGCACCCTGATAATTACAGTTTTCTATGTTTATTAACTGAACCACTATAGTGGTTTTGGTACCATCAAGAAACAGTTTAAAATAAAACATGACGTGTGAAAAAACAGGAACTTCGTCTGCTAAATTCACACTCATTAAACAGAAACTCCACATCTTAATCAGCCTGTAGCGTGCATACGTTAATCCATTTGACGTCACCCCAGGCTAATATCGGTAAGTATTGCTGTGTGTTCATTTAAAAATGCAGTGCCTACATATTGGTCTCATTTAAAACAGCTGCAAAATGAATTATTTGCATATGACGTAGTTGACGGCTCAGAAAGAACGGAGTGGGGATTCGCTCTTCTGTCCCAAATCTGAATGTGTGCGTGGTCTGTAGTTTACTTTAAAATCTTAAAAGATAAATGTTAAAAGCCCGTGGTAGCACTAACTTAACTGCAAAACCCTTTTAATGGAAATAAACCTCATGTACTTTTATCAGAATATTTACCAGCAGACCACACACACGCATCTACAAAGTAACATCACCCACAGATGTCACAAACTGCCCTAACTGCGGACGTGTGATTAGTCAGTCATAGACTTTAACAACTGCTCGTCTGTTCGCACACCGATCACCTGCCAAAATGTAAATGCAAAAAAGCAGTTACATGCAAATGCAACGCGTTGCTGTTCTACATGCAAATCGCACTATTGACCGTTCAGTTCACACCCCGGCGGTACCGCTTCGTCTTATACGAAGTGAGAAATGATTCGAGAGGTGTGTGCTGGACGTGTCCACCTTTGACGTAAAATCGGCACAAATTTCATACATCAACACACGTTTCAAAGGCGATTTTATAAATTACATTGACTTTAGCCTGCTCCGGGTTCACTGCTGCAACTGTTTCTCGTGTTTACAAAATCCAACCAGGCTTGGCTGTAAAATTAAAAATGTAAAAGTTCAGCAGTGTTACTCGCTCTCGCACAGATTATATCTGTCATAGAATCTTAAACATAGACTAACCGCATTCGCCACGGGATCATCGTCTATAATCATAACGGGCTGCACGCGCCGCTGCTTCACACGTGCGTCCAGCTCGCGGGACAGAACGCGCGTATAGAACGGACCCGCTGACGGCTGTCAAAGTCAAACCAAAACGCTGGTCGCCGAAGTAATTTAGTGGGGAGGAAGTGGTCTCACTGAACAATGTTTTCCATAAACGACTGGCCACCTCTAGCAAAGAGGATGTATTTTTAAAAAAATTGTAGCCTGCCATTGTTATGCACTCCAGTGGAGTCATCCGTATCTACGGCCAGCAATTACTGTTTAACGGAATAGACAAGTCCGAAATGTTAAATGAACATTCTACATTTAATACAGCTCGCGGTATTCTGGACAAAATCTAATTTTAACGATGGTACTTATTAACTATAATAGAACAAGAAAAGTTGCAAACTCATCTGAATAAACATTCAATAATAAAGAAATGTTCGAAATACCTTTCTATAATTCCGGGGTAACGTTCCTCCAGAATAAGCGAGGGTCTTGTAGTTGTAAATATCTGAGGAACTAGTCGGCCGGTCCATAACTAAACTGTCCGACTTTGAAGAGGAAAAGTAGATCTCGCCGCTGTCCGAGCGCGCAGTTCCACAGTCCGTGTCATTTGAACTAAACTTTTTTAGCTTTCTGAAAGTCATATTCTTCATTTTAATCACAAATAGCAGATGATAAGGATGTGCGTGGGACGGACTCACTGATAATGAAACAGCTCACATCAAGCACGTCGCTATCGCTGTGACCACGCTTCGCGTGTAACTTACTCTCGCTTCCAACCGCTACAACTAGTTTACTAAAAATGTGACTTGCCGCGGATAGACATTGAATGACCCTCGTGGGCGGGGCCAAGTGAGTAAGCATTTTAATTGGCGTTTTTCCCCCATTCTTTTTGCTCATTGGTCCGAATTAGTGTAATACCGCCCACTTTTGGATGGCTGCCGACGAATGCGTGCGTGTAGGCTTCATGATGAATTGCGTCTATCACAATAGTTAATATTTAAGAGTAAATTGGAAACTGCACTGAAAATTCCGCGTGTATCATTAGGAGAAGAAAGATGCAATTTACCGTGAGGATCAAATGAATAAAGATATAGTATAGATTTCAATCCATTTTCTGTAACCATTTATAGTACTGAGGGTCGCAAGGGGCCGGGAGCCTATGAGTGCAAGACAGGGAACAACTGAGGATGGGGCGCCAACCCATGGCGGGGCACACACGCCATTCACACCCGTATAAGTTTGGTAGCTCTAATTTTGGATTGTTTGTGTGAGTATGAGTGTGAGTGTGGGTGGGGGGGTTACGGAGTACCTGGAGGAAACCCTACGGTGATGGGTCGACCGTGTAGCAGCAGCTCGCAAGTGATAAATGCAGCTCGCAAGATCATGAAGATGATTGAATGCGGACTGGAAAACTACTGGGGTCTCCCCACGTAGGCTGGGGAGCGGCGTGCCTGTGATCGAAAGGTCACTGGTCCAAAGCCTAAAGCCAGCTTCACTACTGGGGTCTTGGGCCAGTTGCAGTCCTTAACCAATTGCCTTCTCAAAACTGTATGTCGCGTTAGGAAAGGCGTCTGCCAAATAAGTAAAATAAATACTGAAGTTCTTTTGCCGTTTTGCTTTCAGTGTGTAAGACCCTAATTAATCTAGACTTGTAATCCTGTATCGGTTATTTTTAAATTAATATTTTAAGTGAACAAAATGATCTCGGTTGCTCCGCTGATTTGTTGATAAGTTCGTTCTTTTCGTTGGGTTATATGAATGAGATTAATTATTTTATTCGCTCACGGCCAATAGGCCATCTCTTTCGCCACCCACTGGTGTAGTGATGCACGGACAGTAAGTAGAAAATATGATGTGTCATTATGAAAAATATAACACTACGGATAATAATAACCACTACGGATAGAAAAATAGCAACACCCTTGATCACCGATGAACCCATAACAGCGGTCTACCGTGTCGGAAGTGAACGAATCAATAAAAAACTCCTCATCGAATCTTTTATTGAACCAACTCAAAACAGTCGATTCACCTAAAGGAATAACGCTTTCAATCTATACTTATATTACCTTGTACGGTTTGTGTTGGGCTAGCGCCATCTGTTGTTTAGACAATTAAATTAAATTACGTGCTAATAAGTAGGTAAGTAAAACAATTCCGAAAATTGTGGAAATTAAAGGCACTTTTAAACGACATTCTGTAAAGCCAACGGAAATTTGTTGCATTTTAAAAATATTTATTACATTTATGTCAATTCCACATATCAGTTCAATACTTTGATGAGTTTGATGAGTGGTACCTCGGTTCTCGAACTTGAAAGTTGAATTTCTTGAAAGTCGAATAAACCAGTTTGACCTAGAACTGGATCTGAATTTCAGAAGTCGAACCGTGAACGCTGACCTAATATAAATTGTACGCGCCAGGAAATGAGTCATACTACAATGCAATTCTTACTTGAATGCCTTCTTCACAGACT